ATGCAAGTTTCCGATAAACACACGCTCAAATTGATACAACACAAATATATAATAGGGAAATCCTCTCGTATAGCATTTGAATTGACTAAATTACTGGATGCTTTGAATTTGTGTCGCCTATATCATTGGTGAGGTTGAAAGAGAAAGAGAGACAGCGAGAGAGAGAGAGTATTTTGTATCAAAGAGGTATAGTTTTGATCAAATTTTGAAATAGTTGAAAACTCATTTGCAAGTTTCTGTTTAATTACACACAGTGATGTAACGAGATAGTAACAAATTGAGAAACTGCAACATTAATTCATTTTGTTACCCAATTTTGTCTATAGAAAATTTTTTCATATTCTATTTTTTTTTTCATCTTTTTTCTTTTTTTTTCTCTTTTTTCTTTCTCTCCTTCTTTCTTTTTTGAATTTTCATCATCTCCAAGAAATCAGAGCTTCCGACCTTGTTTCCAGTGTACATTTTGAAATATAAGGTGAGGGTATATATGTGTGTGTGTGCTATATATGGAATATTTCTGGTATGGCCGCAGAGAGCATAAATTTAGAGAGTGTCGGCAATACTTTATGCCGTTGGGATTAAATAACTTGACCCACTGGCAACATATCATGCGTGCCCGTGTTCTCCAGTAAACAGTCCTCTTCTAAATTCATGTTTAGCCCTACGACTTTCATATGCGTTTATCTCATATTCTCTGCGCTGGAAATTAATTTTTTTTTTCATTATGTATTTAATTTTATTCATTTTTTTTTAAATTTATTAATGGAAATTTTTCTATAAATTTATTTCCCATATATGTATGACTAAAACTAACTTGTACTACTGAAAAAATTACAATAATATTTCAAAAGTCTGACTAAATGTCAATTTTAATTAGTGAAAAAGTAACAAAAAATTAGAATGTCTGACTTTATATTGATTTATACTACTGACGAAATTACAAAACGTGTTTAGAAAGTCTGATTAAAAGTTTACTTGTACTACTGAAAAAATAACAAAAATTAAAAGGTCTGACTAAATATTGATTTGTACTACTGACGAAATTATATACAAATATTTAGAATGTCTGACCAAAAGTTTACTTGTACTACTGGAAAAATAACAAGAATTTAAAGGCCTGACTAAATATTTACTTCTACTACTGATTAAGAAACTGATAAAAATAAAAATTTCTTATTAAATATTAACTTTTACTACTGACAAAATTGTAAAAACATTTTCAATTTTCTCACTAAATGTTTATTTTTACTACTGAAAGAAATAACAAAATTTAGAAGGTCTGACTAAATATTGATTTGTACTACTGACGAAATATACAAATATTTAGAAAGTCTGACCAATAGTTTACTTGTACCTACTACTGACAAAATTACAAACATTTAGAAAGTCGGATTAAATATTTACTTATACTACTGATAAAATTACAGAAATATAAAAAAATCAAAATTAATTATTCCTTTATCTAAAGCAAGAAAATTATGCACTGTTTTTAAATGTACATAGTTACTATCTAAAAATTTATACATAATTTTGTTGCCTAGTTTAAATTTATTATAATTAATTTACTAAATAAATATTTAATTAATAAAATAATTAGTTATCTAATAGATTAAATAATTAGTTATGTAATAAATTAAATAATTAATTATGTAATTAATTAAAAAAATTAATTATGTAATTAATTAAAAAAAATTATAGCGTATTTAGATGTAATAACTGGATTTAGAAAAAAAAAGAAGATAAATTTGTTAATTAACATAAAGTGGTAATTGATCCTAATGGTTTTAATGAAAGGAAACTTGCGAGCGTATTATGAAACTTAAGGATCTATATAAGGTACATTATATCCTATATATTTTTCGGTTTCGCAATATGCAGATGATGACGTGGCCGAAATTGCAAACTCGTCGAGTCTCCCTAGTTGCTTTTAATGATGCCGTTATTAAGCAAACTTTGGATGCTTCTATATACATATATAACATTACACCATCTCTCTCTCTCTCTCTCTTTCTCTTAACATTAGCCGAGAAGAATAGCTTTCTTGCTTACAATAGTGTGAATTTGATATACAAGAATAGCGATAATATTTTAATATTAATTCACCTCAAATTTTCGTTAAAAAATTCAATTAAAACACTAATTCCGTCGTAGAAATTTTTTCACTCTTTTTTTTATCAATATAATAAAATCTAATTATTTCACATTTTATACGAGAATTCAATTAATGCAATTATTATTAACTAGCAAAATTAAACGCGCGCAAGCGCGCCAAATTGAGTATTTAATTGTTTGTTATAAAGAAATTAAAGATTAATATTATCAATAATAATTTAATTTATTAGAATATTATTACATATTAAATGATAATAATGAAAATTATATGTTTACAGGCCTCGGATTATAGGACTTTTTCCGACTTTTTTTTCAAAAATACGACTTTTATCGACTTCTTTTAATAAAATGCGACATTTTTTTTTACATTTGAAAAAAAATGTAAATAAAATACATTTTTTTAGTATAAAAGGTAGATCTTCTTCAGATCTTTTTCAATTCAATTATTTAACAAATTTTGAACTAAAATGATTCTTCACTAAATTAATTATTTTTAATAATTTTAATGAAATACATCACAAATTCAATTATATCAAAATTATTTTTCAATTAAAATTTTTATGAAATTTAACAATTGTTTATAATTTAAAAAAATATATCACAATAAAATTGAATCATTTTTTAAAAATTTCAATTCAAAATAAACTAAAATTCAATTATTACAAGGAATTTTAGTTCAAAATCAATAAATATTCAATAATTATCCAAAATTTTCAATTTAAAATTTAATTATTTACCAAGTTTTCAATTTAAAATGAAATAAAATTCAATTATTTTCTAAAATTTCTATTCAAAATTAATTATCCAAATTTTCAATCAAAAATGAACTTAAATTAACTTATTATCCAAAATTTCAATTAAAATTCAATTATTTCCCCAAAATTTTCAATTTAAAATGAACTGAAATTCAATTATTTTCCAAATTTAAAATCAAATAAAATTTCATTATTCTCAAAATTTTGAATTCAAAATTAATTGAATTTTCAATAATTTGAATTTAAAAGCATCTAAAATTTAATTATTTCTAAAATTTTCCATCGAAAATTTTTTTTTTGAAATTTAATAATTTCAATTATAACTTTAGGAAATTCAATTATTTTTATCTATTTTAATAATATTCTTTGAAAATTCAATTATCTAAAGCCCCTGGTACCTTAAAAATTAATTTTTAAAAATAAATTTTTTTCAAATTACTATCTTGTAAGAAATTTCCTGGCGCAGCTTTTTTCTTATCATAAATTTTTTGTATTTGTATACAATTTTTGAATCAATATACAACTTGAAAAAAAATTTTCGTTGGTAAACGTTGTGTACTTCAGCTTCGTGAATTGAATTTTGGAATTTGGAATTTTAAAGAAACTTATTCCGAAATTTGGAAACACAATTATACAACTTTGGCAAAATTGAGAAAAAGAATTGTCAAAATTTGACACGTCGTAAGATTACTATTCAAAAAAATACGTGAAATCAGAAAAGGCCAACTTCAAGTTAGGACAGAAGGACAGACCAAGCATTTTATTATTATATAATTTTTTTAATCGACACTGTTAGTATTTAGTTTTTAATTAGAATAAAACAATCGTTAAATTTATTACAAAAAAAATTTTACTACTGATAAAATAACCAAAATAGAAAGTCTGACTATATATTGACTTGTACTACTGATAAAATAATAATATTAGAAAGTCTAATTGATGGTTGACTTCTACTACTGATAAAATTACAAAACATTTAGAAAGTCTGCCTAAATATTTATTTTTACTACTGAGAAAATGACAAAAATTTAGACAGTCTGACTAAATATTGATTTGTACTACTACTAATAAAATTAAAAAAAAATGTAATTTAATTAAAGCTATTAATATTTTTTTAAGTGGAAATATTTGATAGTATTTTATTTTTTTAATTACAATTAACCAATCATTAAATTTAATACAAAAAATTACCAAAGAAATTTGAATTTTCTATATCGTTACATTTTTGAAAATAACATAATTATATTTTGTTTATTAATTTTCACAAAGCCTTATTATTATATTTTGTTTTCCAATTTCAAAAAATTATTCACTTCTTGTAAAGATGAAACTATTAAATAATTATATATATATAAAAAGAAAGTTGATTATATGTTTTGAAAAGAGTTTTAATGAAGTAACTAATTATCCTCTTGCAAATGGTGGGGGGGGTGGGGTGGGTGAAGCCACGAAAGATGATTGAATTGGTTTATTAGGAGGAAATGATATGGAAGAAATGACAGTTTTGAAATTTGTATAATGAAGCTCTATTCTTCCTGAAAGGTGGGGGTGGAAAAAGGGAGGTTTACTGTTCATGAGTATAATGAGAGAGTGAAAGAGAAAGAGAGATAGAGATATTCTATTGGACAGAATCGAAGAGCGCGCATAGTGCATATACAAATTTGCCGGACGGTCGTTTGTTCGCAGCATCCATGCCTGAAACAACATCGCTCAAATACCATTATACATAGAGACCACTGGAGAGAGCACGAAATCCGGCATTCGATCGCAAATCTCATTGATTTCATTTTGCCTATATGGTCAAAACGAGGCTTTATCGTTCGTTGTTGTAAATACCACCAATGGTTTATCAGATGCAACCAGCACCATTCATTGTCTATATACATATATATATATATATATTTTCGTGATGCTTAATGACCTCATAATTCATCTTTCAGAATACTATATACCAATATTCTAATTCCAACAGGACTCGATAGAGAACTATCAACAAATCATAAATTTAATATTGAAAATGTACATTTCACGTATACATTCATATGAAACATGTGTTTGTGTATATTATTTTCATTTGCTCTGTCAATTATTTTCCAAAATCACTGTTGTAAATAAATTATATTTTTGTTACAGGTATTATTGTTCTGCATGGAAAGGTTTCCTTTTTCTTCGTTACTGGTGAGTCTTTTAAAAAATTAATAATTTATTTATTCTTAAGAAAAATTTCTTACAAATTGGTTATATTTATTTAGAAAAATTGTATTTTATACCGGAATAAAAGTTGGCGAATTTTTCGCTGGCTTAGCAAACTATTTTGGTTGATAGAGGGACAGCGAACAATTTTTATGTATTTTTTTGTATTTTCATTTTTAACTTTTTTTATGATGAGCAAACTTATCGTTACCACAGCAAATTGTTTTTTGCTGCAGTAGCAAATGTTTGTACTACTTCTTTTGGTTCCCTTTCGATTTTTCTAATTTCTTATTTCTAAATAAATACATTGAAAAAAAAAAATTATTTTACATTCAAATACTCGATTACTTGAGTGATATCAAATAATTATTATTTGAATTAATTAAATGGTATTTTTTTTAAATACAGAAACTATTGGTACAAATATAATTTATTTAATTCAAATAAAAATTATTTGGTTCAAGTAAATATTTATTTGATAACAGTCAAAAGTATTTGAATCAAATAAATTTTTTTTTAGTGCACACCGGAAAATGTAAACATTTCTCATATGTGTACGTCCGCATGAAAAGGGACCACTTTAGTTTCTTTTATAAGGGCGAGATTTGCATTAATGCTCACGCAAAAATGATCCTTATTGTAATTGACAAAGTGGTCCTTTTTCATGCGGAAGTACACATATAATTTTTATAAAAATAAATTGCTAAATTTATTAATTTTTTCCTAATTTTCGAATGATTTTCTACTCCCTAAATATGAGTTAGTGAGAAATTTTAACTAATTTGATTTAGTGACTCACTTTTTATTTTTTAATTCCTAGTTAAATTTAACTAATTCATAGTAATAATTTTTTTTATTATCTAATTATTAAAATTTAACTAATTAAAAAAACAAAAAGTTAGTTAGTTTTTTCAAAGATTTTGTGGTATAAAAAAGCAATGGCAAGTCAAATATCATAAATACACTGAGAAAAAAAATTTAGTGTTTGTAACAAAATTGTTTGGTTAGGCAATTTTGGTTCTTGAAACCAAATTTTGGTTGGCTGAAACAAAGTCGTAGGGTTATCTCAACCAAACATTTGGTTAGGCCAACAAAATTATTTGGTTGAACATTTTTAAATTCCAATCAAAATTTGGTTACAACAACAAAATAATTTGGTTAACATAACAATATAGTTTGGTCTAAAAAACCAAATGATGGTTTGTTGTCCTAACCAAAATTTGGTTGCGACAACCAAATAATTTGATTCGCTCTCAGTTCATAGCTTAAAAGAACAGTTAGTTTAAATCTCTCACAAGGATGGGTAGTCCAGTGGTCAGAGCTCTCGACCTTCAGTTTTAAAACAGAGGTTCGATCCCAGGCGGAGATGAGATTTTTCAAAGTCCACAAATATTTCAATTGGATAAATATAAATTTAATGTTAAATTGATAATAAATAAATAATGAAATAAATAAAAAAGATAAAAAGAAAAGAAATAAAGTAGAATAAAATTTTTAATTTTACAAAAAAAAACTGTTTATTTGATGAACCAAACATTTTTGTTGACCTAACAAAAAAAATTTGGTTGAGCTAACTAAACATTTTCGTTATACCAACAAAAAACACTCAACAAAATTTTTTTGGTGACCCAAACAAATAGTTTGGTTGCTTAAATATCAACAAAATTTTTTTGTTGGCCCAACTAAATTTTGGTTGCTCTGACTAAACATTTTTCTCAGTGTAGAATAAATTTACTGCTTTTGGAAAAATTGAATTATTCGAAAAAATGTACTTTAGGAAAAATTAATTAGAAAAATATTTTTAGGCAATAGTAAATATTAGAAAAAATGTACGTAAGGAAAAAAAATTAGAAAAATATTTTTAGGGAATAGTAAAGAATAGAAAAAAATGTACTTAAGAAAAAAAAAATTATGAAAATTTAATTAGATAAAAGTTATTAGAAAAATATTTTAAGGAAAAAGTAGATATTAGAAAAAAAAAATGTTTATTAAAAATATACAATTAGGAAAAACGTTGCACTTCTTTTTGCCAGATGAAGGTATTAAATTTGCAATTTTTGAAAATGAAGATTCTGTTTCATTGCTTTTCAAAATAATCGAAATATATATATATATATATATATTTCGATTGATTATAATGAGAACATTTATATGCTTTGATTGGTAAGGATTTTTCGTTGGGAGGGAATTTTGTAGATTTATATAGATATATTGATAACTTTTATAAAAGTGACCGATATTGACGTTACAGTGCTGTGAGTACGTTAATTAGCAGAGCGTGCTGTCGCGTGAACGTACCGCATGGAAGGGCTTGATTCCCTCGAGCGTAGGGAGTTTGTTCTCTCATCGGCCATGGCAGCTCGTCGCGCAGTGCTTGGCATTAATTATTATCGTCGTATGCATACCATCTATATATACTATATGCTTTAAAATATTCCCTTCTCGTATACACAACACACTCTATGTTTACGACGTTACGTTAATTAGAAAAGAATTAATTTACGCAACTAGCATATTTTATATATATATATATATATATATATATATATATATATATATATATAGTATAAATAAATGTATATATATAGTATATGTGAAAAGATCATTTATTCAATTGCTAACGAGTGACAGAAAAAATGTCATATAAAATTAAATTTATTTATTGACTTGTGTGACCTGTATTCAACATCACGTTGGGTGAGAAAATTTATATTTGCATTTTTGAATTTTATATCAAGAGAGCTAATTAACTGTAAGAATGTTATTGTTTTCGTAATTAGTTATGTAATTTTCTTGCTTGGAATAGAATTGGGATTATGGTTTGAATATGTAATCTAAAAATACACTTGATTATGTTACATTTAATTAAACAAATTAATTTGAAAATTTAATTATTTTTGCAGTAGAATAGTCGTTTGATTTTTTTATTTTAGTCTCAGTAGTAAACAACAGTTTTAGTCAGACATTAGTCATTTTTTTATGCTAAAATCAGTAGTAAAAGGCAGTTTAATCAGACAGAACAATTATATGTGTATTTATCAGTAGTAGAATGCAATTTTTGTCAGACAAAGGAATTGGACTTTTTTTTCTATTTATTATCAGTAGTATAAAAGAATTTTAGTCAGACAGTCATTTTTTCTACTTCTTAGTCAAAAATTGTTTTAGAAAGAGAAATTAATCCTCGTACTTTTAGTATCAGTGATAAAAAGCATTTTTAGTCAGACAATTTTTTCTACTTACAATTAGTAGTTGAAAATAGTTTTAATTAGACAGAATAATTAATTTCCGTATTTTAGAATCAGTGATAAAACATAGTTTTAGTGAGAGAGAAATTTTTTTTCTACTCTTTATTAGTAGTAGAAAATAATTTTAGTCAGCCATTGATTCCTGTCCACTTATTATTAGTGGTAGAAGAAAGTATTAGTCAGACTATTAATAATTTGTATCAGTAGTAGAAGTCACGTTTAGTCAGACAGATAAATTAATTCCCACTTATTTTAGTATCAGTATTTTTGTCATAATTTTAATTGCAATTAGTAGTAAAAGTAAGTTACAATCAGACATTTTAGTTTCTTCTAATCGTTGTCTTAATAGTAAAATTTTATTAGTTAAAAAATGTGATTTCCAGTCAGACAAAATTATTTAATTCTTTAATGTTAATACTCTCTAAATCTGAATTAGTAAAAATGTTTACTAATTTAAATTAGTGACTCACTTTTTGCTTTAGAATTAGTTAAATTTTACTAATTGATAGTAAAAGTTACTAATAATTAGTAAAATTTTACTAATTGAGAAGCAAAAAGTGAGTCACTAATTCAAATTAGTAAACTTTTTTACTAATTCAGATTTAGAGAGTAGTAAGTATTCTTTTAATCAGACAAAATATTTAAAACTTGTATGTAATTTTAATATTAAAAAATAAGACTAATATGTAATTAATTCAATTTCTTTAAAGTTATTATTTTTTTGAAATTAATTTTACTTTAATAAATAAAAATCAAATTTTTATCGATAAATTTTTCGGCAATTTTTACATTTCCCTAATATTCAACGATGGCTTTAATTGGATCCCTTTCATATGTGATATAGTTGAGGAGATGCATTCAATTCTTGAAAGCGAGTGAAACAGGTCCTGGAGGATTTTCTTGACCACAGAGAAGGGATAGGGTTTTGGTCGATTTGACCACAACTCGAACTAGGAGTCGTCCTTTGAGTCGCGTTTCATTGGTAGAGAGAGAGAGAGAGGGAGAGAGAGAGATATTCACTTGTGTGGCGTTGTGTAGCCATATGGGATAGAGGTCGTTTGTGAGCTCTCTGGAGTTGACATATTTCGCCGTAGGGTCTTGCTAGTCAGTACGTCTGGGGGTCCACCGCAACCACTAGTTTCTAGACGACGAATGGTCAGAGGTTCAAGGGTAAATAGTGATTTCAACCAGAAGCACCACCCTGGGGACTACTTCTTCTTTCAAGCAGTCTCTCCTTGATATCCTCACTGGCAAATGTTTTCTTTGTAAAGACACCATATTTTCCGCCTCTCTTTACTTCATTTTTGATATTTTCTAAACTAAAACCAGTAGATATATTTATAATAGTTCGGAAAATATCGCAAGAGATTATTATTTGTATCTAGGGCAATAGAATCAGTAGTAACAAAGCAGGTTTTAGTCAGACCTTTATTTTTTTTTCTACTCAGTATCAGTAGTAGAAAGTAGTTTTAGTCAGACAGAACAATTAATCCACTTAATTTTACTAACAGTGGTAAAAGAGATTTACAGTCAGACAGTGATTTTTTTCTGTTCACAGTAGTAAAAGTTTGTTTTAGTCAGACATATAGTTAAATTCTTGTCATTTTAATATCAGTAGTAAAATAGTTATAGTTAGTATCAGTTATTGTCAGCCATTGATTTTCATCTAGTTATTATTTAGTAGTAGTACAATTATTTTTAGTAGTACAAGACAATTTTAATCAGACAAAACAATTCATT